TGTATGTATATTATTGCCATCCCTATCAGTACCTCTATAAAAGCCTCAGTCACTATGGCAGACTTTTATGTATGAGGCTGTGCCAACAATAGGATTAGTCTGGATTTCTTTCTTACTTGTACCAGCTCATGCACCATTTTATATATATTAAAGCACACATCAGTGTGCTTTCATGGTTTGTTCTTTCTTTGTAGCGTGATCTTTGACATCAGATACCTGTGGCACCCCTCTTTGTCTTTTTTGGGCAGGTGTTCAGGGGCCTCTGAATTTGTGGAGGGACATTGCTGCAGCATTTCCCATTTTCCCCTTTGGGACATTGAGCATGCTCTTGCCCTGTCCCCTGCAGTTCTATGTTCCCTGCCATGTGTTCCAGCCCCCTGATAGTTTCCAATATGGTGGCAATGGTGGTCTGGCACATCTACATATAGACAGGTCTCCTCTCCATGCCTGTGCAGATCAGGAGCCTCGGGCTGGGGTGACACCACAGGCTGGTAAGAGAAGCCATTGGGTGCTGTCTCTATCTGAAGGGGAGATAAAAGAAGGACTGTGGAAGAGGCAGTTTCTGAATGAATAATGAATAGGCTGTTTCCTTTTGTCAAGGTGGATGGATGTACCTTTTTCAGGGTTTGTTATTCCCCACCCACAGCTTGAATGGTGAGCAGATAATGTTATTTTTACATGAGATTGGTGTACCAGCAACTGCCTACCAGTATCCCATTAACCATTGGGACAGTGCTATATTGCTGATTTACTTATCTGTTTATTTTAAGATTGTTGTGATCATTCCATGGCCCAGAAAAAACTGTTATACCACTGTTAGCCCCCTCTCTCTTTTTGTGAATTACTTTTCTGGCTGGACTAGGATATAATTATATTGTAGACATCCAACAGTCAGGTAGGTATAGACCAGTGCTCATGTAGTTTATTTGACCATGGAATAATTTTTTGTTAGTTTATTACCTTGCATCTTCCTTTTTTCAGTCTAATTGACTTGTTTGCCCCCACACCTGCCCCCAGGGGGTATTTAGGGTCTGTGTTCCTGCCTGCTGCTGTGTGGACCCCTAGAGTGCATGGATAGTAAGCTTTATATTGATGTGCTGTTGTGCATTTACATTTCTTGTTCAAATTGTTTGTTGGTATGAAAGAGTCAGAGAGGTAACTTACAATGCAAGACATAAAAGATCATGTAACAGTATTCAGTACAATGTACATCTGAGGTGTGAACAGAACAGGTCCAGGGGTGTAACAGACCATATAAGCAGTGAATACAACATAATGTGAGAAGTAAATAGACTAGAGCTAGGAGATCCAGTGTTCATCCCCCTACATATGCACCCATAGGACCTTTAAATCTCTAAGTCGGTAGGTTCCTAGAGTACACAAAAACCAGTGTGCATGGAGCCTAAGGGTTTTTTTTTTACTAAAACTTCATGGTGCAAAATCTAGTGCAGCTCTGTATAGAAACCAATCAGCTTCCAGATTTTATTGTCAAATCTTAATTGAACGAGCTGTTAGAAGCTGATTAGCTATTATGCACAGCTTCACCAGATTCTTAGTACACGAGTTTTAGTAAATCCCCAACTTACTGACACTTACACTGTCACAAATACTGACTGACATACTGCTACTAAATGACATATACCTTGCCACTAACTGACACTAACACTGACTGCTAATAACACTCACTAAACAGGATTTTATTTTTTTGTCCAGACCCCTCTAGTCAGGAGTAAAATATTCATTGTATCTTTTCTACCTTACTAGAGAAATCTGTTGTTTCTCACTTTCACAGAGGAGAAACAACACAGGGTTGGGCCAATCCCTGGCTATCAGAGCGATATTGTGAGTGGGAGCTGGTTTCTCCAATTCGGAATCATTAGTATGAGACCCAGAGCTGTCACCAGCAATTTCACAAACTTTCAGCACAAACAGATGAACACAGACATATGCAGCCGAGAATTACAACCCACTTCCTAGACGTTGTACAGTATATGTGTTATGTGGTTCTAATGTTAAAATGCAGAATTCCTCTGATTAACATGCCTGAGGATTCCCAAAAGCTTGTGAAGAAGTGCACCTTTATTTGGGTAGGATGTACTGCAGAGTAACTGACATCTTGTAGAAAAACAAATGCAATTTTGTGGTAAATTTTGAGTAAAAATAAAAAAAAGCATATGGATCGCCTTATAATCTATACCAGGTCCCTATTAGGTGTTACGGAACATATTTTCACAGCAAGCATCAGCAATTCTATATTTTGCCATAAAATATTTTTTATACTTTATGTAATTTATTTTTTACATTTTAAATTTAGTTTGGTGTAAATGCAGCAGCACTCCAATCTTTAATCGAGAGATGTAAGGCCTAACTTGACCAGTGAAAGTAGCAACTACAATAGTTATAATAAGAAAAATTGGTGTAGCGCTAAACAAATGCCACTATGCATAAATGTATATACATGGATAGAAATTAAACTAATACATAGGGGTATAAATGCTTACAAATAATCATGCATACAAAGACAAACCTATTGCATATCCCCTAATGGGGAAACGTGACTAAATGCTTGTGATGGTTGCACACAAAAACCATGCAAAGGATGATATACTGCAACAAGTGATAACAGTGAATATTTTACAGTCCACTTCACACAAAAACTGTGATCCTTTAAAAGCCGTGAGAGTGCCACTGGTGCCACAATCCTAAAAATGGTTTGAGTGCCTCCTCACCTCCCCGCACTGACCACAAGGGCCAATACGCCTTTGAACCATATAAGATGTATTCCTCGGATGTCAGCCGGTACAGGTCCACAGTTGATTCTACCTCAGGCGCTGTTATCCAAAAAGCCACCTCCAGCTCCTATATAGTGGTGGTAATATACCACCAGATGATGCTCAGAGACATAAGAAGAGACCTCCCATAGCGTGATACCGTAATATTTATTGATAAAATAATATATATAAAATGCCCACTCACATGTCCACAAACAATTTAAAACCTCATGTAGATCCTCCTGGTATCCTAGTACTGTGGGTGTACCTGGAGTCCCAATATGGCGCGTACGTCGGAAGTGACGTCACCGCGTACCGGAAGTGTCGTCAGGGCGTACGCGCCATATTGGGACTCCGGGTACACCCACAGTACTAGGATACCAGGAGGATCTACATGAGGTTTTAAATTGTTTGTGGACATGTGAGTGGGCATTTTATATATATTATTTTTATCAATAAATATTACGGTATCACGCTATGGGAGGTCTCTTCTTATGTCTCTGAGCATAATCTGGTGGTATATTACCACCACTATATAGGAGCTGGAGGTGGCTTTTTGGATAACAGCGCCTGAGGTAGAATCAACTGTGGACCTGTACCGGCTGACATCCGAGGAATACATCTTATATGGTTCAAAGGCGTATTGGCCCTTGTGGTCAGTGCGGGGAGGTGAGGAGGCACTCAAACCATTTTTAGGATTGTGGCACCAGTGGCACTCTCACGGCTTTTAAAGGATCACAGTTTTTGTGTGAAGTGGACTGTAAAATATTCACTTTTATCACTTGTTGCAGTATATCATCCTTTTGCATGGTTTTTGTGTGCAACCATCACAAGCATTTAGTCACGTTTCCCCATTAGGGGATATGCAGTTTGTCTTTGTATGCATGATTATTTGTAAGCATTTATACCCGTATGTATTAGTTTAGTTTCTATCCATGTATATACATTTATGCATAGTGGCTAGAGATGAGCGAAGTATTCAAAAATTCGATTCGACTGATTCGGCGAATTCGTGGAAAAATTTCGATTCGAGTCGAATATATTCGCTGTGAATTTAACTTAAAAAAGGATGTTTCTAGGCTTCAGAGAGACTTAATATTAGTGCAGAACACTGTACCCTTAATTTAAATGCCCTTGGAGTCTGCTGGGGAAGAGAAATAATACTGTCAGTCAGTATGACATGCAGATGAGTGCCGTCGATCTTAGAATCACCGCACACTTCACTCATTTGGGCAGTCACGGGGCCAAAACCAGAGTGTGGAGCCACAGTGTGGCGGTGGAGGCAGCAGCAATGGGAGGCCATACAGCACCCTATGACAAAAATGGAAACCACCAGCAGTGTGAGGAGACCTGAAAGTGGCACATGGCAGAGTGTGGCGATAGAGACAGCAGCAATGGGAGGCCGTACAGGGACCCATGACACACTCTGGACCTGGCAGCAGCATGAGGAGGCGGTACAGGGGCCCATGACAGATTACGCCTGGCAGCAGCATGAGGAGTCGGTACGGGGGCCCATGGCAGATTACGGGCCTGGCAGCAGCAATGGGAGCCGTACAGGGACCCATGACACACTCTGGACCTGGCAGCAGCATGGGGAGGCGGTACAGGGGCCCATGACAGATTACGGGCCTGGCAGCAGCATGAGGAGTCGGTACGGGGGCCCATGACACACTCTGGACCTGGCAGCAGCATGAGGAGGCGGTACAGGGGCGCATGACAGATTACGAGCCTGGCAGCAGCAACTTGGACAGGAGGACGTTCAGCTTCTGCACCGTCGGGTGCGTGCTCGCAAACTGTTGTCTCTTGGAAACGGATTCCAAGAAAGACTGCTGACGGAATCCGTGAAGAGGAGTAGCAGGAGAAGGAGCATCTGAACGAGCGGAATATGCCAACAAGCGACAACAGGGGCCCATGACAGATTACGGGCCTGGCAGCAGCATGAGGAGTCGGTACGGGCCCATGGCAGATTAGGGGCCTGGCAGCAGCTATGGGAGGCCCGTAATCTGCCAGCACCCTATGACAAAAAATGGAACCCACCAGCAGTGTGAGGAGACCTGAAAGTGGCACATGGCAGAGTGTGGCGATGGAGACAGCAGCAATGGGAGGCCGTACAGGGACCCATGAGAGACTCTGGACCTGGCAGCAGCATGAGGAGGCGGTATAGGGGCCCATGGCAGATTAGGGGCCTGGCAGCAGCTATGGGAGGCCCGTAATCTGCCAGCACCCTATGACAAAAAATGGAACACACCAGCAGTGTGAGGAGACCTGAAAGTGGCACATGGCAGAGTGTGGCGATGGAGACAGCAGCAATGGGAGGCCGTACAGGGACCCCATGAGAGACTCTGGACTTGGCAGCAGCATGAGGAGGCGGTATAGGGGCCCATGGCAGATTAGGGGCCTGGCAGCAGCTATGGGAGGCCCGTAATCTGCCAGCACCCTATGACAAAATGGAACACACCAGCAGTGTGAGGAGACCTGAAAGTGGCACATGTTTGGGGCATGATTCATGGCGGATTTAGTCAGTTGTGTCAGGAACTGGTGGTTTGAAATCCAGACTAATCCACGCCTGATTCATTTTCACAAACGTGAGTCTCTCCACACTTTGGGTGGACAGTCGTGTCCTCCGCGGAGTTGCAATACCTCCTGCCGCACTAAACACGCGCTCCGATGCCACGCTACTGGCCGGGCATGACAGCCTTTCAAGGGCAAATTCAGCTAGTTGGGGCCAAAGGTCAAGTTTCGTTGCCCAGTAGTCAAGGGGATTGTCTACCTCGGTTGGCAGGGTGCTGTCCAAGTAGGCCTAAGCCTGTTGTTTGAGGTCCTGCTCCAGGTCCACCTGCTGCTGCTGCTGCTGCTGCTGCTGCTGCGGCTGGTTAGTAGTTTCCTCACTGCGCTGGTGAAGAAAGCTACTCATCATCGACTGCAGACTGAGGCAGCCGCTGCTGGTGGAGCTGCCACTGCTCCTACCACCCCCCCACCCCTCCCCCTGCTGCCATGGCAGCGGAACGCGAGCGCACAGGGCCCACAGTGTCTGAGGATGGACGTTGGCGCAGACAGGCAGAGACCAGCTGACTACATAGGTGTTTTTATAGTACGTTATTTTGGCCTCCCTCTCAGCAGGTGTGAAAAAGGCCACCATTTTTGAACGGTAGCGAGGGTCCAACAAGGTGGACAGCCAAAAGTCATCCCTCTGTCTGATGGTTATTATTCGGCTGTCGCTACGCAAGCAAGCGAGCATGCTATGGGCCATTTGTGCCAAGGAATGCGAGGGACTCCCTGCCTCCATCTCCACAGCATACTGCCACGGTGCGTCTGGGTCCTCTGTCTCCTCTCCTCCTCCTCTACCAGATGCTCCTGCTCCTCCACTCCTGTCCGCTGAGTGGAAAAACCACCCATTTCACTCAATAATTCCTGAGCACAAATGTCCTCCTCTACCTCCTCCTCTTCTTCCTGTCCTGCCCCCACAGGGGTCATGTGGCGTTGAGATCTGTGTGCGCCACGTCTACCGCACCCTGACCAGCCATTGTTAACAGCATTTGTTCCAGGACGTGCAACAGAGGAATGACGTCGTTCATCCCATAGTCCTGCCGACTCACGAATAGCGTGGCCTCCTCAAAGGGCCTGAGCAAGCGCAGGTGTCACGCATGAGCTGCCAATGGCTGACATCTAAGTTACACAGGGAGTACCTTTATCCGCTTTTAACATCAGGAAATCTGTGATGGCCTTTTGCTGTTCGTAAAGGCGGTCTAACATATGTAGGGTTGAATTCCACCTTGTTGCAACGTCACAGCATGAGGAGTCGGTATAGGGGCCCATGGCAGATTACGGGCCTGGCAGCAGCTATGGGAGGCCCGTAATCTGCCAGCACCCTATGTCAAAAAATTCAACACACCAGCAGTGTGAGGAGACCTGAAGTGGCACATGGCAGAGTGTGGCGATGGAGACAGCAGCAATGGGAGGCCGTACAGGGACCCATGACAGACTCTGGACTGGCAGCAGCAGCATGAGGAGGCGTATATATAGGGCCCCATGGCAGATTAGGGGCCTGGCAGCAGCTATGGGAGGCCCGTAATCTGCCAGCACCCTATGTCAAAAAATTCAACACACCAGCAGTGTGTGAGGAGACCTGAAAGTGGCACATGGCAGAGTGTGGCGATGGAGACAGCAGCAATGGGAGGCCGTACGTACAGGGACCCATGACAGACTCTGGACTTGGCAGCAGCATGAGGAGGCGGTATATAGGGGCCCATGGCAGATTAGGGGCCTGGCAGCAGCTATGGGAGGCCCGTAATCTGCCAGCACCCTATGTCAAAAAATTCAACACACCAGCAGTGTGTGAGGAGACCTGAAAGTGGCACATGGCAGAGTGTGGCGATGGAGACAGCAGCAATGGGAGGCCGTACAGGGACCCATGAGAGACTCTGGACTGGCAGCAGCATGAGGAGGCGGTATAGGGGCCCATGGCAGATTAGGGGCCTGGCAGCAGCTATGGGAGGCCCGTAATCTGCCAGCACCCTATGTCAAAAAATTCAAACACACCAGCAGTGTGAGGAGACCTGAAAGTGGCACATGGCAGAGTGTGGCGTGGAGCGATGGAGACACAGCAGCAATGGGAGGCCGTACAGGGACCCATGACAGACTCTGGACCTTGGCAGCAGCATGAGGAGGCGGTATATAGGGGCCCATGGCAGATTAGGGGCCTGGCAGCAGCTAGGGAGGCCCGTAATCTGCCAGCACCCTATGTCAAAAAATTGAACACACCAGCAGTGTGTGAGGAGACCTGAAAGTGGCACATGGCAGAGTGTGGCGATGGAGACAGCAGCAATGGGAGGCCGTACAGGGACCCATGAGAGACTCTGGACCTGGCAGCAGCATGAGGAGGCGGTATATGGGCCTATGGCAGATTAGGGGCCCTGGCAGCAGCTATAGGAGGCCCGTAATCTGCCAGCACCCTATGTCAAAAAATCAAACACACCAGCAGTGTGTGAGGAGACCTGAAAGTGGCACATGGCAGAGTGTGGCGATGGAGACAGCAGCAATGGGAGGCCGTACAGGGACCCATGACAGACTCTGGACCTGGCAGCAGCATGAGGAGGGGTATATATAGGGGCCCATGGCAGATTAGGGGCCTGGCAGCAGCTATATGGAGGCCCGTAATCTGCCAGCACCCTATGTCAAAAAATTCAACAACACACCAGCAGTGTGAGGAGACCTGAAAGTGGCACATGGCAGAGTGTGGCGATGGAGACAGCAGCAATGGGAGGCCGTACAGGGACCCATGACAGACTCTGGACTTGGCAGCAGCAGCATGAGGAGGCGGTATATAGGGGCCCATGGCAGATTAGGGGCCTGGCAGCAGCTATGGGAGGCCCGTAATCTGCCAGCACCCCTATGTCAAAAAATTCAAACACACCAGCAGTGTGTGAGGAGACCTGAAAGTGGCACATGGCAGAGTGTGGCGATGGAGACAGCAGCAATGGGAGGAGGCCGTACAGGGACCCATGAGAGACTCTGGACCTGGCAGCAGCATGAGGAGGCGGTATATAGGGGCCCATGGCAGATTAGGGGCCTGGCAGCAGCTATAGGAGGCCCGTAATCTGCCAGCACCCTATGTCAAAAAATTCAACACACCAGCAGTGTGTGAGGAGACCTGAAAGTGGCACATGGCAGAGTGTGGCGATGGAGACACAGCAGCAATGGGAGGCCGTACAGGGACCCATGACAGACTCTGGACTGGCTGGCAGCAGCATGAGGAGGCGGTATATAGGGGCCCATGGCAGATTAGGGGCCTGGCAGCAGCTATAGGAGGCCCGTAATCTGCCAGCACCCTATGTCAAAAAATTGACACACACCAGCAGTGTGAGGAGACCTGAGTGGCACATGGCAGAGTGTGGCGATGGAGACAGCAGCAATGGGAGGCCGTACAGGGACCCATGACAGACTCTGGACTGGCAGCAGCATGAGGAGGCGGTATATAGGGGCCCATGGCAGATTAGGGGCCTGGCAGCAGCTATGGGAGGCCCGTAATCTGCCAGCACCCTATGTCAAAAAAATTCAACACACCAGCAGTGTGTGAGGAGACCTGAAAGTGGCACATGGGCAGCAGAGTGTGGCGATGGAGACAGCAGCAATGGGAGGCCGTACAGGGACCCATGAGAGACTCTGGACTGGCAGCAGCATGAGGAGGCGGTATATAGGGGCCCATGGCAGATTAGGGGCCTGGCAGCAGCTATGGGAGGCCCGTAATCTGCCAGCACCCTATGTCAAAAAATTCAACACACCAGCAGTGTGTGAGGAGACCTGAAAGTGGCACATGGCAGAGTGTGGCGATGGAGACAGCAGCAATGGGAGGCCGTACAGGACCCATGACAGACTCTGGACTTGGCAGCAGCATGAGGAGGCGGTATATAGGGGCCCATGGCAGATTAGGGGCCTGGCAGCAGCTATGGGAGGCCCGTAATCTGCCAGCACCCTATGTCAAAAAATTCAAAACACACACCAGCAGTGTGTGAGGAGACCTGAAAGTGGCACATGGCAGAGTGTGGCGATGGAGACAGCAGCAATGGGAGGCCGTACAGGGACCCATGACAGACTCTGGACCTGGCAGCAGCATGAGGAGGCGGTATATAGGGGCCCATGGCAGATTAGGGGCCTGGCAGCAGCTATGGGAGGCCCGTAATCTGCCAGCACCCTATGTCAAAAAATTCAACACACCAGCAGTGTGTGAGGAGACCTGAAAGTGGCACATGGCAGAGTGTGGCGATGGAGACAGCAGCAATGGGAGGCCGTACAGGGACCCATGACAGACTCTGGACTGGCAGCAGCATGAGGAGGCGGTATATAGGGGCCCATGGCAGATTAGGGGCCTGGCAGCAGCTATGGGAGGCCCGTAATCTGCCAGCACCCTATGTCAAAAAATTGAACACACCAGCAGTGTGTGAGGAGACCTGAAAGTGGCACATGGCAGAGTGTGGCGATGGAGACAGCAGCAATGGGAGGCCGTACAGGGACCCATGACAGACTCTGGACTGGCAGCAGCATGAGGAGGCGGTATATAGGGGCCCATGGCAGATTAGGGGCCTGGCAGCAGCTATGGGAGGCCCGTAATCTGCCAGCACCCTATGTCAAAAAATTCAACACACACCAGCAGTGTGTGAGGAGACCTGAAAGTGGCACATGGCAGAGTGTGGCGATGGAGACAGCAGCAATGGGAGGCCGTACAGGGACCCATGAGAGACTCTGGACCTGGCAGCAGCATGAGGAGGCGGTATATAGGGGCCCATGGCAGATTAGGGGCCTGGCAGCAGCTATGGGAGGCCCGTAATCTGCCCCAGCACCCTATGTCAAAAAATTCAACACACCAGCAGTGTGTGAGGAGACCTGAAAGTGGCACATGGCACATGGCAGAGTGGCGATGGAGACAGCAGCAATGGGAGGCCGTACAGGGACCCATGACAGACTCTGGACCTGGCAGCAGCATGAGGAGGCGGTATATAGGGGCCCATGGCAGATTAGGGGCCTGGCAGCAGCTATGGGAGGCCCGTAATCTGCCAGCACACCCTATGTCAAAAAATTCAACACACCAGCAGTGTGTGAGGAGACCTGAAAGTGGCACATGGCAGAGTGTGGCGATGGAGACAGCAGCAATGGGAGGCCGTACAGGGACCCATGAGAGACTCTGGACTGGCAGCAGCATGAGGAGGCGGTATATAGGGGCCCATGGCAGATTAGGGGCCTGGCAGCAGCTATGGGAGGCCCGTAATCTGCCAGCACCCTATGTCAAAAAATTCAACACACCAGCAGTGTGTGAGGAGACCTGAAAGTGGCACATGGCAGAGTGTGGCGATGGAGACAGCAGCAATGGGAGGCGTACAGGGACCCATGAGAGACTCTGGACCTGGCAGCAGCATGAGGAGGCGGTATATAGGGGCCCATGGCAGATTAGGGGCCTGGCAGCAGCTATGGGAGGCCCGTAATCTGCCAGCACCCTATGTCAAAAAATGAACACACCAGCAGTGTGTGAGGAGACCTGAAAGTGGCACATGGCAGAGTGTGGCGATGGAGACAGCAGCAATGGGAGGCCGTACAGGGACCCATGAGAGACTCTGGACTTGGCAGCAGCATGAGGAGGCGGTATATAGGGGCCCATGGCAGATTAGGGGCCTGGCAGCAGCTATGGGAGGCCCGTAATCTGCCAGCACCCTATGACAAAAAATGGAACACACCAGCAGTGTGTGAGGAGACCTGAAGTGGCACATGTTTGAGGCATGATTCATGGCGGATTTAGTCAGTTGTGTCAGGAACTGGTGGGGTTTGAAATCCAGACTAATCCACGCCTGATTCATTTTCACAAACGTGAGTCTCTCCACACTTTGGGTGGACAGTCGTGTCCTCCGCGGAGTTACAATACCTCCTGCCGCACTAAACACGCGCTCCGATGCCACGCTACTGGCCGGGCATGACAGCCTTTCAAGGGCAAATTCAGCTAGTTGGGGCCAAAGGTCAAGTTTCGTTGCCCAGTAGTCAAGGGGATTGTCTACCTCGGTTGGCAGGGTGCTGTCCAAGTAGGCCCAAGCCTGTTGTTTGAGGTCCTGCTCCAGGTCCACCTGATGCTGCTGCTGCTGCTGCTGCTGCTGCGGCTGGTTAGTAGTTTCCTCACTGCGCTGGTGAAGAAAGCTACTCATCATCGACTGCAGACTGAGGCAGCCGCTGCTGGTGTGGAGCTGCCACTGCTCCTACCCACCCCACCCCCTCCCCTGCTGCCATGGCAGCGGAACGCGAGCGCACAGGGCCCACAGTGTCTGAGGATGGACGTTGGCGCACAAAGGCAGAGACCAACTGACTACATAGGTGGTTTTTTATAGTACGTTATTTTGGCCTCCCTCTCAGCAGGTGTGAAAAAGGCCACCATTTTTGAACGGTAGCGAGGGTCCAACAAGGTGGACAGCCAAAAGTCATCCCTCTGTCTGATGGTTATTATTCGGCTGTCGCTACGCAAGCAACCGAGCATGCTATGGGCCATTTGTGCCAAGGAATGCGAGGGACTCCCTGCCTCCATCTCCACAGCATACTGCCACGGTGCGTCTGGGTCCTCTGTCTCCTCCTCCTCCTCCTCTACCAGATGCTCCTGCTCCTCCACTCCTGTCCGCTGAGAGTGGAAAAACCACCCATTTCACTCAATAATTCCTGAGCACAAATGTCCTCCTCTACCTCCTCCTCTTCTTCCTGTCCTGCCCCCACAGGGGTCATGTGGCGTTGAGATCTGTGCGCCACGTCTACCGCACCCTGACCAGCCATTGTTAACAGCATTTGTTCCAGGACGTGCAACAGAGGAATGACGTCGTTCATCCCATAGTCCTGCCGACTCACGAATAGCGTGGCCTCCTCAAAGGGCCTGAGCAAGCGGCAGGTGTCACGCATGAGCTGCCAATGGCTGACATCGAAGTTACACAGGGGAGTACCTTTATCCGCTTGTAACATCAGGAAATCGGTGATGGCCTTTCGCTGTTCGTAAAGGCGGTCTAACATGTGTAGGGTTGAATTCCACCTTGTTGCAACGTCGCAGATCAGGCGATGCTGTGCAATTCCGTTCTGCCGCTGCAGCTCAAGGAGGGGTGTGCTTTGCGGTGTAGGAATGGCTGAAATGCATGCAAAGTTTACGTGACATTTTAAGGATGTCTTGCAGTGGGATGGTGGATTTTAGGAACCGCTTGACAACCAGATTGAACACGTGAGCCATGCATGGCGCATGGCACAACCTTCCTTGACGCAGAGCAGACACCATGTTCTTTCCGTTGTCGGTCAACATGGTTCCGATTTTCAGTTTGCGCGGAGACAGCCATCTGTCGATTTCTCTGTTCATTACACTGAGAAGTTCCTCCCCTGTGTGACTACGTTCGCCAAGGCATACCAGGTGCAGCACAGCGTGACACCGTTGCGCCCTGCACACATGTGATATGCCGGTCGGGTAATGGGACTTGGCACGGGGGTGGCGGCTGAGGACACGGCGGAAGAAGAGGTGGTAGAGGCGGACATCTTTGCCGGACCAAGGACGTGCAAACGTGGAGGCAAAAGCGGCGTGACCTGTCCAAGTTGCTGGTGCGGCTGTGACGGCACCACGTTCACCCAGTGGGCCGTAAATGACATGTACTGTCCCTGACCGTAGTTACAGCTCCACACGTCGGCGCTGCCGTGCACTTTGGCAGAGACCGACATGCTCAAAGACTGGCCCACCATCTCTTCTACATGTGAATGCAGGGCTGGCACTGCCTTTTTGGCGAAGAAATGACGGCTTGGCACTCTCCACCCGCGGCGCGGCACAAGCCATCATTTCTCGGAAAGGTGCTGAGTCCACCACTTGGAAAGGGAGGGACTGCAGCACCAGCAACTTGGACAGGAGGACGTTCAGCTTTTGCACCGTCACCGTCGGGTGCGTGCTCGCAAACTGTTGTCTCTTGGAAACGGATTCCAAGAAAGACTGCTGACGGAATCCGTGAAGAGGAGTAGCAGGAGAAGGAGCATCTGAACGAGCGGAAGATGCCAACGAGCGACAACTCCCCTCTCAGAGGTGGTGTTGGAGCCTTGACTGGCTGATGAGAGGGCGATTGACGTCGGGTGACGGAGCAAGTAACGGAGCGGGGTGATGGAGCGGGGGCTGGGGCGGGCAGAACCGCCGTATCTTTATCACGTTTTCCCAGGCCACCAAATGGCGACGCTGCATATGCTGCCGCAACGCTGTAGTCCCAACATGGGCCCCCTGGCCACGCTTGACTTTCTGGCCACATAGTCGACATACGGCTACGTTTACTTCCTCGGGCGGCTTGACAAAAAATTGCCACACACCGCCGAGTAGGAAACTTTGCCCCCGATACTCCTCACTGGCTGACTGCTGCTTCCTCCGTGCACACCGGCACCACTACTGGCCGTGGTGGTAGGCTGCAGTGGAGCTGGTGCTCTACTACTCCGTGGCCGTTTGGCTCCACTGACACTGCTGCGACCCTGCTGCTGTCTCCTGGGCAACCCACCGACTGTTTTCGCTCGCTGCCAAGCTGCCACCCTCTCTTCTCCTGATGATGCGGAAGAAATTGCCTGATGACGACGAGGCTGCCAAGTGCGATCAACCTCCTCATCATCAAGTAGGGTCTCCGCCTCACTACTAGCTAGCCCCCTCGGCTGCGTCTGGGTCAGGAGACAGACCTGTCTCTAGACCGGCTACCGAGCCACTCTCCTCGCCACTACTTCTTCGCCTGGCTGCTGAAAAGGCGGATGTCTCCCCCCGTTCCTGACCGCCCTCTGTTAGCTCTTCCTCACTGTACAGTGGGGCTGAGCCCACAGCATGCGATACTTCGCTTGGTGAGGGAACACCAAAGGACAGGGGCAGGTAGAGGACACGTGATTTCAGTGGGCTTGGTCCCGGGCCATGCCAACTAACGGTTGTGTCTGACGTACCCACCGACCGTTGGCTGTAGGTGTCAGAGGTGACCTGGGAAGAGGAAGACGACCGAGCCAACCAATCGACGACGGCAGGGTTGTCGGTGGAGACACGACCGCTGGATGACACCGGGAGCACTGGCCTCTGGCTGCGAATAGTGCTGCCTCGACCCCTTCCTCTGCTGCCACGTCTGCTCGCTCCTAAAACATTGCCTCCTCTGCCACTCCTCTGCATGTTTGTCTGACATACTCTTTAATTCAACGATTCTGTGTCCCTGAGTAACAATTCTGTGTCCCTGAGTAACAATTCTGTGTCTGTCCCTGAGTAACAATTCTGTGGCCCTAAGTAACAATTCTGTGGCCCTCAGTAACAATTCTGTGTCCCTCAGTAACAATTCTGTGTCCCTGAGTAACAATTCTGTGGCCCTAAGTAACAATTCTGTGGCCCTCAGTAACAATTCTGTGTCCCTGAGTAACAATTCTGTGGCCCTAAGTAACGGTTCTGTGGCCCTCAGTAACAATTCTGTGTCCCTGAGTAACAATTCTGTGCCCTCCGAGTAACAATTCTGTGTCCCTAAGTAACAATTCTGTGGTCCCTCAGTAACAATTCTGTGTCCCCAATTCTGTGGCCCTAAGTAACTGTGGCCCTTCTGTGGCCCTCAGTAACAATTCTGTGCCCCTAACAGTAACAGTAACAATTCTGTGGCCCTCAGTAACAATTCTGTGGTCCCTCAGTAACAATTCTGTGTCCCTCAGTAACAATTCTGTGTCCTGTCCCTGATTAACAATTCTGTGGCCCTAAGTAACGGTTCTGTGGCCCTCAGTAACAA